GCCGGTGGCCGCGGGCGGTGGAGGAGCGGCGGGGGGCGAGGCGGCGGCGGCGGCGGCGGGGCGCAGGGCGGCGGGGCACAGCGCGGCCAGCTCCAGGGAGCGCAGGTCGCGGCGGGCCAGCGGCTCGGGGCTGGCGCACAGCACCTCGCCCACCACGCTGACCGAGCTGAGCGCCTCCAGCCACTGCTTGAGCGGCACCAGCTCGCAGGTGCAGTCCCAGGGGTTGAGCTTCAGGTCGATCTGCACGATGGCGTGCAGGTGCTCCAGCACCCCGGCCACCGGCAGCGCCAGGAAGTGGTTGTTGCGCAGGTTGAGGCGCGCCAGGGAGGTGCCGGCGAAGGCGTCGGTGGGCAGCGTGCGGAGCAGGTTGTCGTTGAGGAAGAGGAGCTTCAGGTTGGGCATGAGGCTGAAGGCCGCCGGCTGGATTTCCCTGATCAGGTTGTACTCGAAGTACAAGTAATGCAAACTCTGCAGGCCCCGGAACATGCCCGGGGTGAGCCGCTCGATGTCGTTCCCGTTCAGGTACAGGCTCTTGAGGTTGGGCAGGTTGATGAACGCCCCGTCCTGTACGTAGGAGATCCGGTTGTTCCCCAGGTGTAAGAGATCCAAGGAGGAAAAATTCCAGAAATCGGAGCGGTAGATTTTCTGGATCAAATTCCCGCTCAGGTACAGCTTCTTGGCGTTCAAGGGCCTGGGCAGGAGCTCGGAGATGTTGTGGAACCCTCGCTCCTTGCAGTTGACCGTCAGGCCCAGGTCGTTGATGTGCAAACTGCAAGAGCAGCCGGTGGGGCAGATGATGGGGATGGGGGGCCGGGTCTGGTAGGCAGCCACGGGGGGTTGGTTGGGCCCGGGGTACAGGCCGCGGGGGGTCGGGGGAGGCCGGGGAGCCCTGGGCTGCTTGGTGGGCTTGGGCTGCTTGTTGGACGTTTTGTACTCAACAGAGGAGGCGGTGAAATGGAAGGAGGACAGCATGGAGGAAGGCTTCGTAGGCCACGCGTTCTCCTTGCTGGACGACAGCTGAGGGATGCCCAGGCTGGCTTCCACCTCGGAGTCGGACAGCATGGGACACAGCTTGCTTCTCTTGATCTCCCTCAGGTCCTTCCCGTGGAAGTGGAAGGGGGTCTCGCAGGTGATGTCCCCCACCAGAGCAGTGTAGGGGATGCGCTCCAACCAGCTCTTCAGCTGCACGATCTCACACGTACAGTTCCACGGGTTCTCCTCCAGCTGGATCTCCATCAGGCTCCTGCCAATATGGTCCAACATCCCGCGGTAGGAAAGGACTTTTAGCCGGTTCCCGCGCAAGTCCAAGTGGGTTAAGGACACAGACTTAAATAAATTGGTGGGAAGCATGGGGATGAGATTGTCATTTAGGATAAGGACCCTCAATTTACTTAGGTTTCGAAATGCCCCGCTTTCAATCCGTTTAATGACATTGTAATCTGCCTGCAGATATTCCAGACTTTCCAAACCCAGGAAAGTGTCGTTCCTGAAAATGTCCAATTTGTTTTCGTGCAAATACAACCTCTTCAGAACTCGGAGCCCATTAAAAGCCCCCGTCTGAATGTCCTGCAGTGCATTGTTCCCAAGGTTAATAGACACAGCATTGTTCAAGTGAAGAAAACTGTTGGTGTACAATTTCCTCATGGAATTCCTCTGCAGATAAAGTTTAAAAGGTCTCGACCACGACTCTGTTATTTGACTAATATTTATAAATCCTTTGTTGTCACAATGTATATGGAAAAGGCTCTCCTTCACTTCACAGTAACATGGATCAAAGCAGGGCTCATCCAGTTCCTCCGAGTCCTCTATCAAGGGAATAGGTGTAGTCCATGCTAGAGCAATTGTGCTTAGAAGAATTATCCACAACATCCTTCCTTTATGAAGTGTCTCTGCCGTGGAAGGTTTCATCATTTGTTGGTGTTTACAAAACTGCAACGGGAAGAAAAATGCAGATTTCAGTACTTCTGCCCTGCCCCGCTCCTTTTATTTAAGCCACTACCTTGCCAGACTCGTGTTAGGCTCTTGGAAAGTTCAGCAATTGTTGGGCAGACGTTCACAACCAACTCCAGGGGTGTGGGATGGGCGAGCCTTGCCCTGATTTATACTTAAGAGATGGTAGACGGTTCCATCACGCGATAGCAGCCTCCCTTCTCCCCCTCCCCGTGGTAAATGCCACCTATAAAGAGGACAGCACATGCAGCCCCACACAGCAACACGAGCACACACGGGATGGACGTGTTGCATCTCTACATGATTTCCACCGTAGGACCAGCGTTTGGAACTCCACAGATCTCACACTCGGGTGCTTTGTGGCCATCACAGCCCGCATTGGCTACGGGGGGGGGAAAACACCAGTGGGCAGATTTTCTCCGGTGTCGCACTCCGTCCTTCATCCATGCAAACTCCCAAAGTTATTGAGCCTCAACCCTCGAACCCCTCTCCCTCCCGGCTCAATATATTCCACACGTAAGTTCGGAGGAGTGTGCAGGGTTTGCTGATGTCCCTGGCAGAACGGATCCCCTCAGAAATCCCCACAGTATCTTTACCGGAGTAAATGGTTAACAGCCCTGATTCGAAAGGGAAGCTTCCCCTCGCAAATGCGCCCGGTGAATTAATGCAACTGGTATATTATCAGATAAATACACACCACATATTAGTCATTTTAGCTGATTAAAGCGTTTAGAGATGATTAATCTTTCTAAAGCACATGCCCATGCGATCAGCAGATCTAAAGGGAAGTGACAGCTAAAGAGGCACCTAGGATTGAAACGCTCAGCCTGCCTTGGATTAGGGCATTTTGTGCCCCCAGGACCAAGCAGGGGACCCGGTTAAAAAGCTGAAAGTGGAAGAAAAAAAAAATACCTTGACACTTACCAGCCGATAAATTTGCTATCCTACCATATACGTTCCCGAATGAAGACACCATTCTTCTCCAATCAGATGAAAATAATGCTGCACTAATGAGATGCAGCTCCTTCAACATATGGTTTCACCCTTCCTTTCACCAGATATTTTAAATGTATGGGCACAGAGGAACGCTAAGGATGGTAATAATAACGGCGGTGATGCAGCCTTCCTTGAATCCCTGAAATGCCCATTAGAACCATTCGGAGCGATCGTTGCTTTTAGTCTTAATCTCTCAATAGAAAAGGTCCTTTTTGCCTTCCTCGTGTAAGAACTAGAAAAATTTGCCCCCCATCCACAAACTTAAGAGCAGAAAGATGCATTTAGGGGAGAGAAATGCCAGAGGAACAGAAATCCTTAGGATCAACTTGCAAATGAAACCCTCCCCTGTGGGAAAGAGGAGATGGTTGAAAGCACGAAAAGAGAAATACCCTCTGCAATTAAAACCAGCATCTAATTGGGGAGAAGGGAGAGAGATGAGAGCTATATTGCAGTATCAGTCTCTCTGTCTCCTTTGCAAAATATTAAGTTCTTTCTCTTCTGCAAGGGCTGTAATAAAAATAAAAAAATAAATAAAGAGGATTATTATATCTTCTTTTTGGAAGAGGGGGGTGTCTTTGACCCTAGGCGGAAACAAAAGGATCCAGAAAGGTTGTACTTACCGGTTTGCAGGAGAGATTTTAGCACATCGTTACAATAGAAAAAAAGCAAAAGAGGGGAAGGGGGGAAAAAAAAAGCTCGAGTTTAAAGATTGCTGGTTTCTCTCTGCCTCTCCCTCTCTGTGGCTCTCTCTCCCTCTCTCTCTACTCCTGCTGAAGCTGAGGCAAAAGGAAAAAAAAAAAAAGGCAGGAAAAAAAAAAAAAGAAGCAAGCCTGAAACGTGCTGGGAATGCAATGAGCCCCTCAATGATCTTCTTTAGGATGCAGAGCTGCTGTTTGGCACACTCAATGGAGGAGGGAGGAGAGGGGCTGCTGCAGGCTCCAGCGCCGCCGCCGCCGCCTTCTCCGGGCAGCGGCAGCGCGGAGCGGGAGGCTGGGGCGCGGCGGAGCGCGGGCTGCGCTCCCTCCCCGTGTGCGGGTGTGTGTGTGCGGTGTGTGCGGGGCGGGTGTGTGCGTGTGTGTGTGTGTGTGTGTGTGTGGTGCTGTTGTTGCCCTGGATCAGGCTTTTCCACGTCATGAAAATGAGCTTCAAGAAGGGGAACAAATGAAGGGGGCGCGCTTGGCTCCAGGTCGGGGGCGCGCATTTGGGAAGCCCTGACTATACAGTTTTTTTGGGTGGTTTTTTTTTTTGCCTTGCCTTTTTTCTTTTTTTCTTTTTTTTTTTTTTTTTTTTTTAAAGAGGGAAGGAGGGGGCTGGTTGGCGGAGAGAAAGGGAAGTGGGAAACGAGCAGATGGGGGAGGAAAAAGCCTAAGAAGAATCAGAGAGGAAAAAAGCCGCTGGGATGGGGCAGAATTTGCAACCCCCCCCCTTCCTAAAAAAAAAAAAATTCAGGAGGAAAAAAAAAGGAAACCAAAAAAGCCTAAGTCTGGAGGAAATCAAAGCTGCTCTGACTGCGAGTGCCAGCGGAGGGCTGCGGCGGGGAGCAGCCCGGGGGTCCCGGTCCGGCCGCCCCGCTCCCCCCGCCGCCAGCGCATCCTCCTCTCGGTCCCACTGCCTTTCCTTCCGTCCCGGGGCCGCTCCCGTCCCGCAGCCTCGCCACGATCCAGCTTCTTTCCGCAAAGCCAAAACCCTCGGGGGAGAGACCCGGCACCTCCCGCATCCTCCCGCCCGGCGCGGGGCGCGCGGGGGCGGAGGGGCCGCGCCCGCGGAGGACGGAGCGGTGCCCGCCCGGCCCGGGAGCCGCCGGCAGGTAACGGGGCTGCGCGGGGGGCGCAGGGTCCGCGCGGGGGGCGCAGCGGGAGCTTTGCGCGGGTTCTCCCGCGGGTCAAAGTTGGTGGGTGAGATGCACCTGGTGGTGGGTGGAGGTCGCGGACGGGGGGCTGCGGGTCCCCCCTGGGTCGCACCCAGGCGGGAGTGCAGGGCTGCGGGCAGGGCAGGAGGTGACCCCCGCGGTGCTCCGCGCGTCCCCGCTGTCCGCACCCGCGCACAGCCCTGCGCACCCCTGCGCACCCTTGCACACTCATCCCCGCCCATCCCCGCGCACACATCTGCGCCCATCTCCGCGCACAGCGAGAGCCGCGGAACTCCCGGGGCATCCCGCACCCCTCGCCATTCCCGGCTGCCGCCTTGAACCCGAAATCCCCTCCCGCACCCCGAGGTGACCCAGCCGGGAGGAGACTTAACTGGAACCGCGGCTCGGTAGCAAAAAGTTGAGGGGCAAAGCTGCGGGTGCGGGCGGGAGGTCCCGGGAGACCCACGGGGTCCCGCCGCCCCGGGGCCGCTCTGCGCGGGCAGGGGCGCAGCGTCCGCGCCCGGGGACACGAACCATTTTTCCCCGGCTCCCGAGCTCTCCTGCACCGGTGCAATATGGACGCACCGCTCCCTCCTAATTAAATTGCTGCATCATTCATTTTCTGACGCGGGAGCGACATGGGGGACCGGCAGGCGCCGTGCACTGACACCCCCCTTTAGGGATGGGGGGGGGAAGGCGGAGAGAAAGGGCGAGAGGGGAAATCACAACAGTTTGTTCTTTTAACAAGATCGCACAGAGGTTTTGACAGCAACTCAGAAAAAACGACCTCTGGGCGCTCCCCGCCGCTGTGTTTGGGGGGCAGACCCCCTTCCCCATGGGTGCTGGTCGTGGGGCAGGGCTGGAGTACAGGGCGGGGAGCCCCGACCTTGCAACTTTCCCAAATGCCACCCAATATCGCTCGTTATCCTCGCCAGGGCTCCTGCCGTCGGGTTGTGCAGAGGGGCTGGAAGAGGGGAGGGAGAGGGGGGGCTGGGAATGGGGGGATGCCCCTGGAATGCAGATCAGCGAGCGCTGCGGGGCTCCGCGGGGAGGGACGGACACCCCGCCGGGTCCCCCGCCCGCTGGCAGGGCCGGCCCCGGGCCCAAGGACACCCCTGTGCCGCCCCTGCCCTCGCCCCCGGCCGGCTGTGACGCGGGGCAGCCCCGCGGGATGCCCCGGCGGAGGAGGGGGATCGCCCCGCACCTCGCGCTCCATCCTTTCCGTCCCCGCAGTTTCCCAGCGGGGTGAGAAGTCTCCGCTGGCCGCAGAGGCGGCTCTCACAGGGTTTGTCCAGGCCGTGTCCTCTTGTCCCCGCAGCCAGGAGACAGAAGTCACCGCGGGCCATGCCCTGCATCTCCCTCCAGCCACAGCAGCTCACGGCCCTTCTGTCCCTGCTCCACACACCCTGCTGAGAACAGGACCGGTGTGAGTGAGACTGGCAGGAGCTCCAGAGAAGGCTACGGCTGATGTAACCAAGATTAGGACGTCACTCGGTTATTAATGATAATAATTATTATTGGCAAGCGAGCTATTTCCTTGCAAAACCCCATCCTGGAGCTGTGGAGTCGGCAGAGATGCATCTCAGCAGGGCGGGAGCTGGCAGGTGCCCTTCGGCTGCCTCTTCCCAGCCTCAGTTGTCATGACTGAAATGCACCTTTCTTCCCTGACAGCCTTGTGAAAATAAGGGAGAGAGACACAACTTAGAAAAGGACACTTGAGCAGTCACTGTACTTTTCTGAAATATCCTCGCAGCATTCCCTTTCCACTGGGGGCGAACGTTCCCCCCACTGCAGTCCTTGCACAGCAGGCATTCAATGCTCCAGTTAGCCTGCAGTGCGAACCAGCCCCTTCCCTCTCCAACAGAAGTGGCAACGGTGGAGAGAAAGAGGGAGTTTTCTTCCAAAGCTCGCTCTGCCTGTCCAGAAAGAAATATTCCCAGCTTTAATAGTCTCTGTGTCTCCAGCAATCTACAGCAAGGGCAAAAGCAATAAATAGTGCAAGGGCAAGGGAAACTCTCTTGTAATTATTATAGATGGGAGCTGTTTCCCAGCTCTCTCGGTTTACTTAGAGCTAGGGAATGGTTTAAAGGTTCTGGATCCGAGTGTGGAAAGGGTTTGTACACAGCCAGTGCCTGGATTCCAGCTGCATTCCTGCCTAAAAGCCCCGGCAAACCCAGCTCCCGCTGGGCACTCACCCCCGGCTCCCCGGGGAGGGGAATCGCCTCCAGCTGCCTGTTACTGGGGCAGGAGAACGTGGGAACCCAAGTGTGGGAGGGGGAGCAGCGAGGCACGAGCAGGGCCGGGATGTGATTAATCCGTGACGCAAAACCCACATGCACTGGGCTGGGAGAGCTGCCAGCCCGGGCTCCGGGGAGAGATGCCTCCTGTGCCCCTGCCGGGGTGCAGGGCACGGCCCAGGGCTCAGGGACAGCTTCCCACGGGGCATCCTGCCTTTGGGGGCCCCAACAGAGTAACATAGAAATCCTGGAACTAGGAGGGAAGGCCAGAGCTCTGGGCTGTGGGAAATACAGTGCTGACACCTCACCGTGCCATTAGTCCGGGCTGGGCTCAAATTCCTTCACTGGTCTGGTGACCCCTTTTCTTGTCTGCAAGAGATTTCTATTCGTCTGGTGCCTTCAGATAAATATATTCAATATTGAGGTTCCCCTCCTGGCACTTTTTTTAGGGAATTTCTCAAATATTCTTGGGTTTGTATATTATAAATTATTCAAGAAGAAATTTTAGCATTTTTGAATACGTTGATAGAGGAAAATCAGGATAGAGTCTTCTCTGAGTAGCAGTTAGTGAAGCAGTTTATGAGGCTTGACTTTTCTTTCTTCCTCTCTGTTCCTTAATTCCTTTATCAGACACGGGCAGAGAAATAAAATCATGGATGGAATTTACCTATAGTTGTTCTTTGGAAGAAAATATTTCTGTTAAATCTGTATCTTATCAACCCAGTGGTGTTTTAGGGACCACGACCTCTCTTGCTGTTGTATCAACAGCTCAACCTCCCTTCAGAGGGATCCAAATTGGATGCAGAGGATTGTCCTGTCCCCCTCAGGTCAATGCAGAGGTTTCACTGGTTGCTGGAGGGTCATGTTTGGACTGTGAGAGCTCAGGCCAAGGCTCAGGTGCCCCTGAGGTGCCTTCAGGTGTTACTGGCTGCTCCTTTTCCCCATGCCCTCCTGGTATTTGACACACATAGGCACAGGCACAGATTATTTGGACTGCATAAGCACTGGTGAATACACATGAAATGGAGGAAATGAAAGACTTTTAAACTGTGCTTTTCCAGCTGGAATCCTTCAGGCTGGAGAATCTTCTTATGTCAAGCTGATGCTCCTGGCCATGATTTTTCTCAGTCACTTCATTATCAGTTATTTATTAACCCATGGAATAGAAGCTGATTTTTTTCCCAGTCCAGCTGAATTCGACGTGTTATTTTTAGATGAAGTTAAGAAGTAACAATGCACCCAATTATATTAGCACAGACTGTTTCTAATATAAAAGTGTCCTCAGCTACTTTAAACTCAATGGGACTTGGAGCTGCACAGAAAGCTCAGCCATGCCCTCAGTAACAAGTTATGTGTAATTGGTTTCCACTCATGGGATTTTTTTTTTTTTAAGCAGAGAAATTTTGCCCAGTATTTGATGATATGTGTAAATATTAAAAGGAAAGGAGGGAAGAACTAATAGATAGTATTAAAATAGAACAGCAAATACCAGCAAATCGTGAGTGCAGCAGTTTTAATGGGCTGTTATTAGAAATAAAAGAGAAAAGGAGGCAAAATAAAAGGGAGTTTTAATAGGACAAAATTGACAGTTCTGTTATCTTCACTGATTCCTGACATTTCAAGATCAGTTTTTTATCTAATGTTTCAACAGCTTTGGTTGTTTTCTTCTAGTAAATCAGACTCAGCTATAGCTTTTTTCCCCACCTCAGGCACATAAGCCCACAATTTTTTTCTAAATGTGCTGATATTTATTATACAAAGCATCAAAAATCTCCACACTCCTCTTATATACCAGCTCCTCTTTGGCCTTTTTTGGGATGATGTACAGCTGTGGTTGGGCATGCACAGCTTCCCCTGAGAGCAGCTGGAATTCCATGTGTGGATCAAAGGTAGAGTAACACCCTCAGGGTGATCTCCTCCCACCAAACTGGAGTCATGAGCCATCCTCCAGCACCAAGAGGGGCTTCTGCAGCTCTTCACATGGGCAGTTCTGCAGCCCTACAGCCACATCCTGGAATCATGGAATCATTTAGGTTGGAAAAAACCTCTAAGATCGTCAAGTCCAACCACCAGGTTCAGCACTAAACCAAGTCCCTAAAGGGACATCGACACCTTTTCTGAACAGCTCCGGGGACGGTGATTCCACCACTTCCCTGAACAACCCATTCCAGTGCTTGACAACCTTTCCAGTGAAGACATTTTCCATAATATCCAAACCTCCCTTGGCACAGTTTGATGCTGTTTCTTCTTGTTCCATTGCTTGTTACCTGGGAGAAGGATCCAATCTTCACCTGTCTAAAACCTCCTTTCCCCCTTCATGACAACCTACTGCATCTTTTTTAAGCTTTTTTATTCAGTACAGAGATTTGTTTTCACCTGGTAGCAAAACTGCAGGTTTTGATGTCCTGAACAAGGACGAACATGAAGCACACAAAGGAAGAGCATGGACTTGGAACCGTGTTTTCTGAATCTCTCCATCACAGACCTTCAGATGGCAACTGCTTGGTTGCTCCTGTAAGAAACATCTTAGACAATGCAAAAACAATTCTGGAATTCTCTCAGCTGAAACACTTGTGGAATAATCATTGTGGTTTATTTTTACACCTGCACACTCTGCATCTAAACATTTTCTATTGCAGTTTCTTTGGTTTTCTTTTCACCTTGTGTGCTAATCTTCCATACATCCTAATTCCTATATTTTGCCTCTGCACACTAAAATGAAGATTACCCTCCAGTATGTGCCGTGGATTTCCAGGGCATCTGGATTTAGAGTTGCCAGAATTAGAAACATGAGCCAGACGAGATCATGCCATGGCAACTCCCCAGGACTGGGCCATAAAGCCAATCAATTTAAAATGTAATAGAAAGCACTATTGCTGTGCTGACTTCTGTGTGAAGGGAAGCACTTACTGTTTGGAAAGAGAAGCTCATATTCAAAATTGCTTTTTAGATCAGTCTTGATCCTGCTTTCAGTGATGTCAGCGGTGACACTTCCGCTCAGTCCAGAGGTGCCAGAATTTTCTGTTTACTGCTGTTACTTCTCCAGTTCCTCCTCTTCTCCCTTTCCTAAGCTCCCTGCAGGCACCACTCCTTGCATGGTTCAGAGGAGGCACCAAGATGATCAGAGGGATGGAGCACCTGTCCCATGAGGAAAGGCTGAGAGAACTGGGATTGTTCAGCCTGAAGAAGAGAATCTTTGGGGTGACCTAATTGTGGCCTCCCAGCACCTGAGGGGAGCCAGCAGGAAAGATGGAGAGAGACTATTTACAAGGGATGGAGTGGCAGGACAAGGGGGAATGGATTCAAACTGACAGAAAGTAGTTTGGATATTAGGAAGAAATTCTTCCCTGTGAGGGTGGTGAGGCCCTGGCACAGGTTGCCCAGAGAAGCTCTGGCTGCCCCATCCCTGGAAGTGTCCAAGGCCAGATTGGATGGGGCTTGGAGCAACCTGGTCTAGTGGAAGGTGTCCCTGCCCATGGCACAGGGTGGGATGAGATGATCTTTAAGGTCCCTCCCAACCCAGGCTTTTCTATAATTTTATTGATTTTTTTGAGGACACTTAAGACAGATATAGACCTCCTCATTCAGCTCAGAGACAGAGATGGACAGTCATTTTAATCTCTTACAGAAAGGATCTCAACAGAGCTGGAGGAGACGGTGACAACAATGTTTTCTCTCCTCTTGTGAGTCTTGCCCTCCTTTCCTTTTGCTGCCACTGACACAAGCCTTACAGTAGCCCCCAGTTATGAACAGGAGGTGATCTTTCATGTGAAATGGGCTCAGCAGTGAAGCTCAAGATGAGCTGACTCACCCTGATTTCACTTCTAATGGAAGTTGTGGACTAATGTACACCTGTAAAAACAGCAAAAGAGATTTGGGTCTTGAACTCGTGGATCTCCTCTAACACCTCATACTGTAACACTTGGGTTTCTAGTGCATTAACACATTAGCATCCACTTAAGATATAATTTTTATTGTGCTAAAATTGCTAAATGGTGAGAGACAGAATGAGCTGAAGTACCTGAGTGTGTCTTCCTCAGCCTTCAGCTCCCAGCTGACCTCTGGAGGAGTCTTGCTCTCCATCTTTCCCACCAGCCAAGGATACATCTGACTTAGACAATGGAAATTGCCACCAGAAATCAAGTCGTGTGGCTACTTTACATGAAGTAGTTCCCTGTTTCCCTGTCTGATATAATTTTGTTCAAGAGGAAAATGGCTGATTTTCATTTTTCGAAGACTGAGGGGTTTTGCCATTTTATATAACACCAAATTTCTTTTACAGGGACCTGTGGGAGCTGCCATTTTTGATCACTACATCCAGATAGTCATTACATGTGCAAGGAGGATCAGAGGTCTGGAAAGTAAGACCTGTCAGGAAAGAGTAAATTAGGATTGTTCTGAATGGAAGAGTAGAGGGAACATGATATTACTTTGGAATTATAGAAAAATATGTTGAAAAATGAAGGGAATACTTTGTTCTCTACAAGTAGCATCGGAGAGAGAACAAGAAATTGGTTTTAATTTGTAACTAGAAGGATGGATATAAAGTATTAGGAAGATGTTTGTGATGGAGAGGATGGCAGAGCCTCTGGCATAAAAGGCCTGTAAAAAGGCAGGTGAGGTTCCATGGCAGGAATGGCAGAGGACAATTCCTGTGGCTCAGAGATGGAGAAGGTGATTCCCTGAGAATCCCCCAAACCCTGCATTCCTGTGATTGTTCATATTGAGGGACAAACTGTTTCTGATCATATACTATACCCCTTTATATATATATATATATATAGTCATTAAAGACAGTAGGAAAATTCATTAAAAACAAGATTTAGAACCAGATCCCAATAGAAATAATGCCATAAAAATGTAACATGAAAGAACTGAAGGTTTCTAGGCCAACAGTACATGCATGGCTAAGTCATATGCTAATAATTGTATATTCAGGCTCTGAACTCTTTGGGCTAAAATCATCATCTTGAAATTTTATATATATATTATATATAGATAGATATATGGATACACAAACACTCATGTGCCTGCAAAGCTACATCCTTGGATGATTTTGCATATCTTCAGTTTTTCAAGGTTCTTGTGTTTTTATTTTCTATTCATTTTCAAGCTCTCTGTACCATCCTTCCATCTCCAATTGGCTGGATAGCCAGAAATACCAGTTTCTTGGGTAGCCACCTTCCAGAAACCAGAATTTTAGGCAAAATCTCAATATAAGTAGATTTACGAA